TAGAGACCCCAAGTTGGGGGATTTGTCTTCAAAGCAACAGCAATTGTTTCAAACTGTTATGGAAACAGAACTGGCAGAATTTATTGAATTGATAACTTGAATTGCGTTTCATGAACAACAATAAAAAGAAAAGATTGATAACCTGATTCTTGTTTCCAGGATCATGTGAATAGCTTATTGTTTATATTAACTAGAATGCCAAAAAGACATAACTAAACTGCAGCAGAGATTAGCTGATAATGGATATTCTGGGCACTTCTTTCTGTTATAGACAAAGGGTAGACAAACAATTTCATTATTTGGGGGAAGAATTTAGGTCTTCAATTTTCAGACTGCAGAGCTCCCTTGTTCCTACCACATTTGAAGGAAGTGCATCAGTTAAATACAGGACTATTAAGTGTTTTTTTTTTTGTAAAAAAAAAAAAAGGTGCCAGTACTCACGCACAGCTTCGGCTCCAGTCAAAAGCCCTTTACAGAGTGGGGGGGGGACCGCTTTAGGGAGCTTCTGAGGTGCAGATCATGTGAGCAGCATCAGCTGAAGGATGCCATTGCCATGGCTTTTGAGAGGACACTTGTTCAGAGCTGGCATGTCTTCTGCCAACTCGTCCTCCTTCGCCTCTGATGACACAGAGTCTTCCTCTAGAGCCAGAGTGACCAAGGCAGCAGCGGCAGCACCTGGTCCCTTGAAGAGATTTGCTCCAGGAGTCAGTCCTGGTCCCTGGTGGCCAACACGGGGGTGAGGACAGGTGGCGGCGGTGGGGGGAGCCCCATGAACCAAGGCAGATAAGAGGGTCTGCTTTCAGGGCCGTGGAAGTGTTTCCGGGTTGACCTTCAATGCCCACGATTTCCCTGAGCAGCTTCCTTTCACCGAGCCAGAGCTTTACTTGCGCTGGCAGCTTAGAAGGAGCTGGTTCTTCTGTTGAAAAAAAGGTGCCGGAACACCATTCCATGCGTTCTATGACAGAAAAAAGCACTGGGGCTATCTACTGTTACTAGTAGTACTACTAAAAACAACAGCAAGAACAACAACAATGGATCATTGGATTATCTGCAAAAAATTCCATTTGTCTGCAAGTAATAATTGGAGGATCACTACATTGACCAAGTAATTGAGAATGAAAAAGCTAAAATTCTATGGAATCACTGCTGCACAACACTCCGGTTTTTAAAATGTTAATAAAAAGAAAAACAAAAAAGTTTGGACAGTTGACATTACAGTACATGAGACAGCAGAACAGAAAAAAAAAACCTGGAGAAAATCACAAATACAAAGACCTACAAATATAAGCAGAACATTTGTGGCAAAAGAGAGGAAAATTCATACTAATATTAATAGGTAACCTGGCTACAAACTGAAAACAACTGGAGCACCATTTGATCACCAACAGTATTACCAAAATCACCAATTGCAAAAGGAAGTTTTACTTGGAACAATTTACTACCTACGATGATAGCTTAAACAACTTGAAACCTAACCCAAGTCCTTGGAAAGGATTCAACAGGTGAGTAAAAATGCTAATCCAGTTTAAAGATCTAGCTGACTGTGCAGCCAACAATAATAACCTACAATATTTAAGATTTTAAGATTTATCCATTGCGGTGTCTATCAACTCTCTTTGTGAAATCAGATTTTATGAAAAGATCATGTAGAAAATTGTATTGGGTTATGTTCTAAAATCATCTGTTATAACCTGACAGTAGAATCATCGAATTTATAGATCTTCCAGTAGAATGGCCAGACCTAAGCAAGAATAATCTCATTTTTTTTTCAGGAAATGTACAACTCAAACTTTTCTTCCAGTAAAACAATGTTAAATAAAACATATCTTTGAAGAGAAAAGGTCACTCCATCTGAAGAGAAGTACTTCATGGACTCAGGAGAAATGAAGACCCTCTGTCAGCCCTAGATCCTGTAGACAAGAATGCAGGTCATTGATCGGTACTCCAGAATAGGGGCAAGCAGCATTTTTGCCATCATCTTATAACCATCTTATGATTTTATGGGTTATAAAATCTTTTCCTTATTGTTATTCTTTTTTTATTGTTGTTGATTTCATATAATGCATACATATGTTGCCCACAGGGACAGGACTGAAATATTTCATTCCTTTGGGAAATGAGAATTGGGAAGACTACCTATATTGTCACACCTACCTAAAATTTAATATATCTATTGGGGAATTTATTTTTATTTTTTTCTAAATTGTGTGGTGAAAATTTTGCAGTCAAATTCTGGCAATGGAGTCTTAAATGATTCAATGGTGATAAAAATGAAGAAAGGGAACTGGATAATTCTTGAGAGTCAAGAGTTTATTAGCTTCCAGATTAACACTCTTATCATATAACTGACATCAATACACTCATTTAAACGTGTAAACTACAGCAGTCATTTAAATCTAGGGTGGTTTCTGTAAATTCTACCCAAGCTCCATTCAACAGGCAATGTTTAGAACAGTTTTCAATACTTGCTTCTGTTGACATTTGCAGTATAATCTCTTCTGAGGAACATATCGACACTGGGTCTGTGCTTACAACAAAAAGATTAATAGCCAAAGACTTCCCTCTTTTCTTCTTCATCTATTAGTTATCCTAGAAAACATATTTTCCAAGAGGATTGATATAGTAGATTCAAAATGTCAGATCCACAGACTGGATCCAAACTTCTGTGATAATTCAGACACAGACTGAAGTCTATTTCCCTGGCCTTGAACAATCTCTCCATATTACACTGCCCTGTGCCTTTGGATTCAGGATTTGACTGAACCTGGGGCATGTCCTCAGTATCTAACTGAAAATAAAAAGCACTGAAAATTTATCAGTTGTTTAAGGAAAGGAACAGGGACATATATTTTGGGGGATCCTTTTCCTGAAGGCTTTTATGGTTTTCATCATTGGGCCCCTTAAACACATCTGGCACTGATGAGGTAATGTCTAGCTATAATGAAACAATAGCTTTCCTTGGTCTCCAGGGATAGTCAAACCTGAAGCATTCACATACATTCACTTTTTTATGTTCCACAAGGCCAGTTATTTTGTCTCCACATCATTTTACAAATTCCACAAACCTCCCTCCCAATATGATGCTCATAATTCCCTGCACATTTCTTATAATATTAAAATCTGTATAAATATTTGTTCTAGGAAGAACAGCTCTTGAAAGTAATTATTTCATAATCCAATGCACTGTTGTAATTATGCTGCTCTGATACACACATTTTTGTGCACACCTTTTCTTTAGATGCATTTTAATACTTTTTTAAAAAAAACTATATTATAAATTTCAGATTTTTTTAAAAAAAATTCATATATATACTTTACTTTGTTTAGGAGACTGGATTTCAAAAGATGTCGAGGAAAAAGACAAATAAAATGAATTTGTTATTCATCCCTTGTTTTTGGAATATTACTGAATATTACTGATATCTATGTTTCTGCAGGCTAGATGGATATAAGTATGGACTGACCAATTTGTAAATGAGCAGGAGATGAACCCATGATTGAGTTTCCAATTATACAAAAAGCTTCCCATGAAATTTTCTCCTTTGTTTCTAAATTGCCTCAATTTAGGGAGATCTCCTTTAGCAAAGAAGCTACATATTTGCCAATAAATGTGCACAGCTGAGCAATGCAGGAGTAAAATGTATCCTATTTCTTATATGTAGATTCTTCTCTTTCCAATTCTGCTGAAGGATAATTCAATCATTCTGGAAGCTGCATGAGTTTTGATTCACCAAGATCTCAGCTTTTCATTTTAAATTTATAGCAATTTCCTTTCAGGATTCATTAATCTGGACATGAAATTGCTACCAGACTAATGTGAGGGTGTTCAAAGATTCAATTTCACCATTGTGTAACCCTTTCTCCTAGTAATTGTGCCAGAGGTATGGAATATAGCAGAATAAAGGGATAAGCCCTGTATATCTTACTGTAGATTCCTAGCTGATTTGGATACAAATCAAAAGAGTGTGTATACATTTTTGTTTTAATGATTTTGTATTCATGGCTGTGTAACATCATGTTAATCAACTCCTTTCAGTATCCCAAAGAAAGGTGAATATTGTCCAAGTGGGAGCCAAGGGCAAAGCAGCAATATTTGTCTTTGAGAAAATGTAGACAAAGTTGTAAATGAAGCTGAAATATATTAAAAGAACCATTATTACTAAATAAGCTTCTCTGCTAAGCCAATATTAGAAAGGGGTTTGTGTAGAATTACATTTTAAGCAAGAAATAGAAACTGCATTACTTTGTAGGGCTTAATATTCCTAAAGAATACTACTTTTCAACTAACCTACTTTCCACTTGGCCCAAATACACTAAATCCCATGCTTAATCCTTTTGCTTCCCTCAATTAAACCCTTCCACTTGTCTTCCTTTTTATAATCTCAGGCATTCCTTTCTCTGCCCCTACAAGGAGTTTCATCATTTATATTCAGGGACATTTCATATAGAAACCCTCTCATCAAATCTTTTAATTTTGTCTTCCAACAGAAGGGATCCTCAAAGCCTCATTTACTGTCCATGTAGCTTAGAACGTCTCACACATATTCCCTCTATCACAACTCCCTGTTTGCTTTATCAGTCAGCTTTGTTTCCAGGGGCCTGACTTCCATATATGTCCCTGAAACTACCTCAATCTGCTCAGCAGCAAGCAATGTTCCTATTACATTTAATGGACAATGAGTGGCACAATAAACAATCAGAAGTGCTCTGGAAACAGTCAGCAACAATCAGAAAACGGCTAGCAACAATCAGCCAGCAATTTTCACCGATCTGGCTTACCCCATTCTTCTTCCTCCAATCCCTTCTCTTTCTCTCTCTCCCTCCTCAGTTCTCTTCCCACTTCTCACACAAAACTCCCTTGTTTGTTCTCCCTATTGCTCACTCAACAAGCTTTGTCCTACAGTATGTAAATAACTCTAAAAGCCGTTTTGCCAACTCTAAAACAAATAGACAAATTATGAGTTCATAAAAAAGAATAAAAAGCTAGTTGCTACCCATGTGCATTGTCTTACTTGCGTAGGTTAATGTTCACCTAGGGCAAAGACCTTCATCAGCTAAAATTGAGAAATTGTTGACACTCTTCCCGTAGTGCTGAAAGTTAAATGACAAAAAATGTCACTTGAATAATATCTGGAGAAAATTTCCTTGTTGTAAATCTTCCTGATAAAATTGTCAGAACACCCCCAGATCCATCTGAGCAAAATGTGCTCATCTGGTGCCATGTACATTTCCTTTGGGGAAAAAAATGTAATTACGTAATCTCATGGAAAGTAAGATGGGAAAATTGATAGTATTACTTCTCCACATTTAAACAAATAAAGGATCGAGGTCCTTGGGATATAAATTGTTTTAAAAATTGCTCTGAAATATTAAGGTTCACAGTAATGAGCCTATCTAGTACTTAAGGTTTGCAGAAAAAAAATATCTTTCTAAATATGTCCCGGCTTACAAAGATCTCTTTATGGGAGAGAACCTCCTCTGTCATCATCTGAAAAACAGCAATTAGCACCCATATTTACTGCTATGATAAAGGAAATCAAGTTGCAACTCTTGGGGTTAATTTTTGAACAATTGCATTTATGACTTTTTATTGCTAATTAATACTATGGGAATTACTATGTTTGTAATTTTGTGTTTTGAGTCTTTTTGATATGTCTGTCTGTCTGTCTATGTGTCTTGATCTGTTTTGTTTAGCTTGCCAGAATACTCTTTTCGGGCCTGGAAATGCAGACTATAAATCCATTAAGTAAATAAATCAATGTACCTTTTTTAGACTTACCACACTAATGACAACAGTATCCACAGCCGAGAGTATTCTGTAACCCACAATGATTGAAAAATACAATATCAACCTTCTTGTCCTAGTGGAATCCAGAAAGGCAAGGAAGGAGAATAAATTCTCACCTCAGTAATGATGTGTAAATTGTTAAAGATTCTGTGCCAGATTACCCCTGGACAATGGTGTTCACACTTCTTCTGTGACTAGAGTTTCCCTGCTCTGGAAGAAAATACAGGTGTGAAAATATCCTAACGCATGTTCGTTTACATTTCTTATTAAGAAATTCTTTCCTTCCTTGTGTGAATCATTTGCCTGGCACCTGTTTTAAGATTTCAAGATAAAGTCCCCACATTCAGTATATCTTACTGATGCATAGCAGAAACAAATAAACTTTGTATTGGTTTTAGTTTTCATACCAATTTTCATTCCATGTAATGAAAAACATGTTTATTATGTATTTATTATTTCAATTTATAAAGTTGGCCACTCAACATGTGATTCAGGAAAGTGTATACAATTAAGATCAGCAAAGAAATAAAACGTAATAAAGCATATTGGACCAGAAGCAATTTAAACAACTAATCAAGATGGGCTTATAAAACTTTCTGAAGGCCTCAGAGGAATGCTAATATTTCAGAGCCTGAAAGAAGAAAGTCTGAATTTTGGCCATCCATATCTCTGGGGGAATGCTGTTCCATTGATTATACATGGTGACAAAGAAAACATGTCTTCTGGGTCCAACTAGATGACACAGCTTAAGTGATGGGATCCTCAGCATGCCAGCCTTGTCAGATCCTACCAGAATGGTCTAGGTATTTGGAGATAGGTGATGCTCCAAAAAAAAAACAGGCCTGCAACATGAAGGGCTTTATAGGTAACAACCAGTGGTTATTGCTCACAGAAGTCCACAAACAACCAGTGCAGCTCACAAAATAACATGGGAATTCCAAGGTATGTCCATAATTACCCATGACATTGCATTCTGAACAACTGTAGACTCTGAGTAGTCTCATGTAAAGGGCACTGTAGTAAACTAGATGAGAGGTGACCAAATAAGGCATCCCAATACATGAGTTGGCACAAGATGGATTTGTTCAAAAACACTCAGAACTATGGCTACCACTTGCCACTTTCAAACAGAGCTGTGAATCTAGGGAAACCCCAAGTGAGCATTGAGTCTGCCTATAGTAGTGCAACTCTATCCAGAATTAAGAATGGAAAATCTCAGGATCCAAGTATCTCAAAAAGTGAAGCGACTTAGTTTTGTTGTGGTCTTCCCCATACAGACCTCCACAGTTTCCAGAAAACTGAGTCCAGAAGTATACAATGATATCAAAGGCCACCAAGTGATAAGGGAGTACCATGTTGAACTCACCACTTCATTCCTGTTCTGCAAGACATAAGTGTGCCCAGACTCGAAACCTGCCTGGAAGTAATCCAGATAATGCATTTCCTCCTCTGAAGCTGAAGCCAGTTAATTTTCTCAACAACGTTCCCCAGAAAGTAAAGTTTGGGAAAGAGTCAAAAATTGGCCAACACCACGAATCCAATTATATCTTCTTGAGGGGCCGCACCACTCTCTCCTTAAACATAGGCTGAACCACCCTGGAACCTTGTGAATGTATCCAGCCATTTATCATCCTCCAAGGATCCTTAACCAACCAGGTTGGATGTGGATCTAAAGATATTCATCCGTATGATATTCATGATTCCAAAAGCTCTGTCTATTTTCTGAACCTCAAACCTTTCTCAGATTACTATGGCAGGTCATGCCTCAGCCAATTCATCAGAACATGGAAAGTTGGAGTGCAGCTCAGAGCAAATATGAGTGAATTTATTTAGCACATTTAGCACATTCCTCAAAAAGTCCTCACAGCAGCCCTTTGGGTGATCTTATGACCCTGCTTTCAGAGAAGAACATAATGTCAGAAAACTTTCGTGGGTGAAGTGAGTATGATATTTTCTCACTTCTTTATTTACAAAGTTTTGTGGTGCAAACATGTCTCAAGAGGATTGCAGCTTCCCATATTCCCATCAGTCAAAAAGGATAGCTTCCTTGCAGAACTTTTGTTACTGGACTTTTTCAGATTGAAAAGTGTGGGTGGCCAGAGAGTTTTCTATAAAAGAGGTACTTGCTGCTCCTAATGGTGCTTTGCTATTAACCCAGACATAGTAACAGATTGAGTCAATTGGGTTATGTGAAAATAAGCATTTGGTACATCATCCTGATAGTTAGAAAAGAACTTTTATTTTTATCCAGCCAGTTATTCTTCAAAAGACAAGTGAGTGTGAAGTTCAGAAACAAAATGAAAAAGGAAATAATCTGTCCTAAAGATATCAGTGAGGCTCAAAAATCTTTCATTCTAACTGGATTCTATAAAAGATTATTAGTAGCTAAGATAATGCTAAATATCTAAGAACTGAGGCTTAGTTAAAGAGACAGATTGTTTGTTTGTTCGTTCATTCATCCATAGATACGATTTGGTTCCACCTGACACTAAGTGACTTTGGGTAGCTCACAGTCCACCAAAGAAGATAAAAACAATATACAGTCAGAAAGAGAAGTCAGAAAGAGTGAGAAATATCACAGCAAATCATTGTGAAATATTGTAATTTGTCTGAGACTCCACATTGCAGTGATGCATTATAATATCAGATTTATTAAATTAAGTGATAACATTTGTAACGCCTCAAACCAAATTCATTCAGTGCTCAATTACAAATTATGGGCAATTACATAGGTTTTTAATCCCAGAGAATAGCAGAGTTTTAATAAACCATGTTCCTCATTTACATCAAAGGCTCAGGTTTGTTCCAAGCTTCTTTGCAATATTCTCTTTTAATGAACAAATCATATTGCATTTATTTTGTGTATTTATTTTGTCAGTGATTCAAACTGAGCCCTTGGAAAAAACTTGATCGTGGGTAATGATCCAGCACCTGGGAAACATTGTATGTTACTAAACAATTAATATTAAAATATGTTATTGAAATACATATTTTAAAAGAAGTTTATTGTATTGCCCTTTAGGGTGCATAGTTAAAATTTACTGAGGTTGAATCTGAAATATATATGAAAAGCAATAAAGTTCATTGAACAGAGTGAGATTTATTTCTGAATAAAAATTATATATGATTATACTATGAGGGTTAAATGACAAGTAATGCTTCCAATGTTAAATGGCTTATATTAAGTGATAGGACTGATGCACTAGAACTTCTGACATGTTCTTTTGTATGTGGTCTTTCGCTTCAGTTGTCAAAAAAATCCTGTGAGAAAAGGCTGTGTTGCTAATCTACATGATTAGGGCTAGTTAGATAGAAGATAAATGGAAGATAGATGGATGGATGGATGGATGGATGGATGGATGCATAGATAGATAGATAGATAGATAGATAGATAGATAGATAGATAGATAGATAGATAGATAGATAGATAGATAGATAGATAGATAGTAAACTGGGAAGATTTGTGTGACCAAGAATGAACTGGGAAAACTGACTTCAACTAACAAATTTCACATAGAAAAAGTTGATGAAATGTTTAAAGACAACTGATGGAATACTCAAAGAAAATTGTTGTCAGCATTGACATTTCACAAGGACATATGGGTCAAGATTTGGGTTCTCTTTGGAATCAAAAAGTTTGTGTAAGATGGATTTGCTGCAGAGGTAAAAGCTTTAAGCATTGACATTTACTTGTAACTGTTGTTACACTGTGGAAAAAAAAGATGATCAATTCCTTCATAGTATTATAACAACCAATGAAATGTGAGATGATTGTTATGAGTCAGAGATGAAGCATTTGTCTATGGAATGTCATTGCAAAGCTTCATCTGCAAATCAATCAAGGCATCAATCAATAAATTTTTGAGAGAAAAAATTTGGTCATAGATTTTGGGAATGTAGATTGTGTTATACACATGGATTTCCTTGAATCCGGCACCACTATCAACATACAATGCTACATGCAACATCCAAAACTTTGAAAGAACAATTAAACTGAATTTGTACACAGAAAAAGGGACTTTTGTTGCAATATGATAATGCTAGGCCTCACACCTCATAAGCCATCAGAAGAGGCAATTCCAAGAGACAAGAAAGCAGAACTGTAATGCTAAACTGCAATATGATCATCAGTCCATATTGAATATGGAGATATTTAGCGAGAGAGGAACTGTCGAGAAACTGTTTCATATGTTTCTTAGTATTTCCCATGATTACCAAACCATTGGCCTATCTTTTAGTGCAAAAGCTCCCAACCTTTTGGGCACCAGGGACCAGTTCTGTGGAGAGAGGTTTTTCCGCAGACTGGAGGGGGCATGGTTTTGCATATTGCCTGCATCCCAAAAATGGGGCTTTGCTTGTTTGTGCAGCCCAGTGTCTGGCACGACATGGCCCAGGCCCAATCCACAAAACTGAGGTTAGAGACCCCTGCTTTAATGTGACCAGCACATAGTGATGATTCCTCAAAGTATATGTTTACATATATTCATCTCATAAAAATAAATGGGTGCATTGAGTACATCTGTTGATGCCTCGGGCACTTTTTTAAAAGAGAGATTTAAAGATAGTTTGAAAGTTGGGTTGTTAGGCTGTGCACATTAAACCCGTATCTACCTCTGGCAAACAGATCTGCAAGGTTTTGGATGGTTTCAAACATTTTGACAGCCACAGGCAAATAAGGAATAAAACTAATATGTCATCACTAAAAGTGATGCGTCTCAAATTACTCTCAGCTAGGGTCAGGGAGAAATGCATTTTGTTCATATTTTAGCAGGAATCAACCTAATTTGCAGTTCACAAACTAATATGGAAAGCAGTTAACTTTTGGTTTTCACACTTTTTAAAATAATGCAATGTATGTTCTCATGGAAACAAAATATGTGCAAAAAATGCATACATTTGGGGAAATCCATACCAAAGGGCATATATTACCAAACTTACTCCCATTTATACTGCTCAGTCATTGTATAAATAAATAAGGAAAAAATGTGTGAAAAATAAATATAGATTTTCACATACCCATTGAAAAGGAATCATATATGGTGGTGGAAAGGAATTTTGCTGGGAACAAATAAAAGACTATAGAAAGTAAAATATGTAATGTTTGCATCTTTCTTCTAGCTTTCTTAAAACTAGTGATTTTGATATTTTTAATTTCTTTCTCTACTCAGATCATTTTGTCTTCTCCATCCAAGCCTGGCAATTCTCATGGA